CTACTTTGGACTTTTCTTTTTCCAAAAGACATTTTAAAAACTTAGTTTTAAGGATTTATACTAGGAGGAGAGTGATGGAGATATAGGAAGGAATAGGAGATTCGAAAAGTGTATAAGTGTTAAAAGATAATTTATTCGACAAACGCAATAATGATACAGTATACAAAGTACAGATTTACATATATGGCCTGCGAAAAATTAACAATAACAATGCCATTACAGATATCTTTTAAATATATCACTACAATATAATATACATGTGATATGTTATATCCGCTACCAGTTTGGATTTTTTAACGACTTAGTTTTAAAGGATATACTAGGAGGAGAGTGATGGAGACATAGGAAGGAATAGGAGATTCGAAAAGTGTATAAGTGTTAAAAGATAATTTATTCGACAAACGCAATAATGATACAGTATACAAAGTACAGATTTACATATATGGCCTGCGAAAAATTAACAATAACAATGCCATTACAGATATCTTTTAAATATATCACTACAATATAATATACATGTGATATGTTATATCCGCTACCAGTTTGGATTTTTTAACGACTTAGTTTTAAAGGATATACTAGGAGGAGAGTGATGGAGACATAGGAAGGAATAGGAGATTCGAAAAGTGTATAAGTGTTACAAGATAATTTATTGGACAAATACAATAATGATACAGTATACGTATACAGTATATGGCGTGCGAAAGATTAACAATAACAGTACCATTAGAGATATACTAGATATATCACTACAATATAATACACGTTTGGTATGTTACATGCACTACCACTTTGGACTTTTCTTTTTCCAAAAGACATTTTAAAAACTTAGTTTTTAAGGATATATTAGGAGGAGAGAAATAAATATAGAAGAAGAAGAAGGTTGGAAATGAATATAGAAATAAACAAGTGAAGAAGTAGAAAAGTAAGGAATAGAGTTATAAGAGTGGAGAAGAAATGAGCAGAGAGGTAAATAAGAAAGTGAAGAATGAAAGATAAAGAAATAAGGAATTAATGAGGAAATAAATATAGAAGAAGAAGAAGGTTGGAAATGAATATAGAAATAAACAAGTGAAGAAGTAGAAAAGTAAGGAATAGAGTTATAAAAGTGGAGACGAAACGAGGAAAGAAATAAATAAGAAAGTAAAAATGAAAGATAAAGAAATAAGGAAGTAAAGAAGAAATAAATATTGAAGAAGAAGAAGGTTGTAAATGGATATAGAAATAAAGAAATGATATAAGTGAAAATAAAAAAGTGAAGAATGAAAGATAAGGAAGTAAGGAATTTAAGAAGAAATAAATATAGAAGAAGAAGAAGGTTGGAAATGAATATAGAAATAAACAAGTGAAGAAGTAGAAAAGTAAGGAATAGAGTTATAAAAGTGGAGACGAAACGAGGAAAGAAATAAATAAGAAAGTAAAAATGAAAGATAAAGAAATAAGGAAGTAAAGAAGAAATAAATATTGAAGAAGAAGAAGGTTGTAAATGGATATAGAAATAAAGAAATGATATAAGTGAAAATAAAAAAGTGAAGAATGAAAGATAAGGAAGTAAGGAATTTAAGAAGAAATAAATATAGAAGAAGAAGAAGGTTGGAAATGAATATAGAAATAAACAAGTGAAGAAGTAGAAAAGTAAGGAATAGAGTTATAAAAGTGGAGACGAAACGAGGAAAGAAATAAATAAGAAAGTAAAAATGAAAGATAAAGAAATAAGGAAGTAAAGAAGAAATAAATATTGAAGAAGAAGAAGGTTGTAAATGGATATAGAAATAAAGAAATGATATAAGTGAAAATAAAAAAGTGAAGAATGAAAGATAAGGAAGTAAGGAATTTAAGAAGAAATAAATATAGAAGAAGAAGAAGGTTGGAAATGAATATAGAAATAAACAAGTGAAGAAGTAGAAAAGTAAGGAATAGAGTTATAAGAGTGGAGAAGAAATGAGCAGAGAGGTAAATAAGAAAGTGAAGAATGAAAGATAAAGAAATAAGGAATTAATGAGGAAATAAATATAGAAGAAGAATAAGGTTGCAAATGGATATGAGGGGTATTTCCAAGAGACCAGTATAGGAGACCGGCTCGAGGAAGAATGAGCGCTGCGAGTCCGGGCTCTGCCTCGAGCGCTCCCCCCACTCTCCGCCTTCTCCCACTCCCACGCACGACGAATTTGCGCCCACGCAATTTTGAGCGTCTTCCAGTACTTCTAAAGATGCTTGGCCAGAATTTCCGATTTCTAAGTGTTAATATTTTACTTTATTCATTTTGTTAATTATTTTAATGTTCCTAACACCTAATTTATTAATATTTCAATTTGAACGTAATTTACTTTCGATATTCTACAATTTCAATTCAATCTTTGACTACTTCGTATATTCTGCGAGATTTTGATATAGCCTTAATTTTATATTTTGAATAAATTTTGAAAGTAAATCAAGATCCAATAATATTTAGTTAAAATTGAGGTGCTACGCGGGTGTCAAGTTGGCACTGCACTTTCTTAAGAATGCCTTTAAAATATTTCAACAATGGGCTTTTTCAATAGTTCTTTAGAAGTTCTATAGTGCCCGGTCTCGTTGTGAGGGTTTTGCTTTGGTAACCAGCGGTGAGCAGCGGAGAACCTCTGCCCGCCAAGCTAAATGTTCGTGTTCACGTTTAGCTCAGCTACGACGGGATTCGCATTGTCGACGGAGGCGATGATCACAAAATCCTATTTCTAGACTCGTCACTACGATTTAGCGCCATGATTTTGCTATCGCCTAAAACCGTAGCGTTTTGCATCTCCCTACTCATCTCTGGTTCGAGTTTCGAAGTTATAGAGAGGTGCTGCCCCCTGTAACCGAGTTTAAATTCAGTTCCAATTCGCTTACAAAAAATTGTTAATATCATAATAGCACAATGACAGCGAATCAGTTTCATAATGAAAGAATCACTAGTTTGATCCCCTATAACGGATTTACCTTCTTATATTGAAACAACTTGATTTAATTTATATGTATAATACCTCGACACGATACTTCATAAAGCAAATGTTTGTACGAACACGCAATATAGGACGTACATGATACAAAAATAAACTAGGTATGTACATCTATTAATTAAAATGAAGGAACGCATAAAAGAATTTTTGCGTACATTATAAATCTGTAGAATCTAGTGAAAGTTTAAAGAAGACGATATAAACATATTCTATACCTCTATTATTCGCGTTGATTAACTTACAAAGTGATATCTAATATTTGCGAGAAAAATAATTCCATGCTCCGTTAAAATAATTTCATACACGATGTATAAGTTTACATGAACTTTGCTCGATTAAAATATATAGATAATGTTCGACCAATTAAATATAATCGTAGCAAAAGAATTTTAGAACTCTTTTCGTATGAACTAATGGAAGGATGGAAAATTGATTAGAAAAAGATATAAAATAGTAAACATTTCATAAAGGCTCGAACACAAATATTCTTCGTTTTTCAGACGAATCTCTCATCGCTATCCATACAATCTGTTTAAAATAATCATTAATATACTTCCATTATAATTTAAATTTCGAATAATTTTAAGTTTATTATTATTTATTAATTTATTAATGCGAGTTTACAACCGCTAAGTAATCTAAGCCCGAGCTGAAATAAATACCTTATTCAATATCAACAATTAATACTTGAAGCATATACTTATTTAATCAACCACAGAATTTTTATGTAGTAAAATTTTATGAAATAATTTTAGATCCTTTTATTGCACGTGATGCAAGTTGCCTGTCGCGACGAACGACGAACGTCAAATCTAGTTCGGAAACAAGCGATGTGACGGTTAAAACATAAGAACATAGCGGCAGCGAGTGGTCAGCCAATCAGAGTAGAGACGGTCCAGTGAATTGACCGTCCAAATGCGCAGAACCGCTAGTGGCTATAACTCGTCTATTTGTGTCATGACTCGTTCGATCAGCTTCTTCATTGATTCGGCTCCTTCTCCATTAGCCTTGCGGTATCCAGGAGCAAAGGTCTTCACCTTCTTCAACCATCTTGTGACGTTTCTGAATTTTGCAAAATCAAAACCGAAAGCCTGAAAATATAAAATCTAGTCAGAATACCTCCTCAGTCATCCACATTATGTTAACGAAAAAGCTGCTTATGATATTGAAAGCAAAGTTAAAATAAAAGCTGGTCCACGTCATTAATGTATCACTTCGTTTGATGAAAGAAACTTTACGAGTTGCTACTTGGGATGTAAAATAACGTTAGTCAAAGGAAGGTCGAATTATCGTGCTTTCGGGTAAAAATAATTCAGCGAATGAAAAAAAAGTCTGCAAGGCAGGTATATGAATATTTTTGAAAAATTCATTTTTTTTTCACCTCTGCAGTGGTAACGGATGCCACTAAAGAAAGATCAGCTATCGTTAAGCTGCGTCCTGCTACGTAATCCTGACCCTCGAGAAATTTATCCAAAATTTCAAAAGCCTTTTTCAAATTGTCGTAATGCTCGGACTGATACGTTTTCCATTTTCCAAATAATATCGGATACTGAAATAAAAATGTGAAATTATTCGATAATTCTGTTTACCATATTCTTCATTATACAATATTAATCAAACAAACACTCACGTAACAAGCTGCCATTGCTTTGTGAAACGTACCAATATCAAAATACAGTCTTTGATTGACTAACGCACGACTGTTTACCATTTTCGGATAGAGTCTGGTATTTTTTCCATACTGGTCGACCAAATATGCCATTATAGCACGACTGGAATTGAAATTATATGTAATCAGGAGGTCAGGTGCATAATAATTTATTAATGTGTCAACTGATTATGGCAAATATATCAGAGTCGTACAATCTCATAAGAATTGCATAAAATTATTATAAAAAGACAAGCCCTCACCTTTCTGTCAATGTCAAATCACCGTCCACCAAACATGGAACAGTTTTTTGTGGATTTATCTGAAACATTAGAAAATTATTTTTATCATTTAAAATGAAATCAAGCTCAAGATAAAATTAATGATTAGGTAAATAAATTATATAAATTTCCTGGCACGTGTATGTTACTATCTTTAACACGGTTCATCGTACTTGCTCGTATTTCGAATTAAGGTGTTCCCCAGCCATCACATCAATGCTCTTTAAATTCAAAGTCACTCCGATGGCTTCAGCAGTCAGCATAACGGCACGGCAAGGTGAGCTGGTAGGGGCGTAATAAAAATCCAAATTCATGATTCTGAAAAAAAAAAGAAAAACTTTAAATTTATAATTTTCACTAGCTAGACGAGCACTCGCGTACTCTGTACTTTTGTTATATCTTTCGCAGTAAACATCAGAGAAGTCAGTTCCCCGTTTCTCGAGCGGAAGGAAGAATAATCAAAGAACTGAAAAGCAAGTTCTCGTTTGAAGTAAATATAGAACTAAAAATGAGAAGCCGCTCTCGTACACTTTGTAGATCTTTATCATTTTAAGAATTTTGAAAGTATTTTCCTCTTTCGCTCCGACCGGTGTCCCTTGGCCTTATCAAAAGGAGAAAAAAAGGAAATGACCTTTGGTAGGTAATTTATTAGGAGAGAAAGAGGGAACCATGCTCGAACTGTCCATAAGAGAAACGGGTCACGCTTGTCATATCGATCGATACGAAATGAGAAATAAATGAATATTTCAGGTAATGCATGTCGTGTCAATTTCACGACGAATCGATATTCAGTGATGGGTAATAATATATATAGTGATACAAGCTTAAAGAATTTTGTTACAATTTTGGATAACATTAATTTTCTTTTTTTTTCTAACTCCATCACGCAATTTATTATAATGCGTTGATAATCGCGTATGACAATTTGATAAAAAGTTACTGTAATTGTATAGAGTGACGATAATCGATAATAGTACGTTGTCAATCTACACGTGTGATAATGGTGCTTTTTTTTATTGAAACGAACATATGTGAACGTCAATATTTTTCAATGCTGACGTATCTCATAGAGATACTGTTTACCTACAGAACACTGGAAAACAAGTACCGCACTGATTTCCTATGGATCTACAAAAATACGTATGGCTTGCAGCACTTCTCCTCGTAAACAAAATGAACAAACTGTTTATTCGGTCTATCGCAGTATCACAGTCGTCTATTACCGCTTTGGAAAAGAAGAATATAACTGATATTATTCCGGTGTACGTTTACGTTTCGCCTAAGGAAACCAGAGTTGCACTGAACGTAGAAACGGTTTACTGGTCAATAGTTTTATTTCGAGGATATACAGGTGAGGTACGATATAGATATAATAGAAGGTAAAATCGATTTTACTCGATACATACGGCGTTGCGTTCTACACAGCACATAATAAAAATTGAAAATCAGTATATTCATGGCCAATGCCATTGATTTGTTAGATACAGAAAGTAGATATGATTGGAATTTGTGAATAACGGAAGAAAGTTAATTTTTGCAAAATTCTACATAGTCAATACCACATTCAATGTGTTATACATGTATATATGTGTTCAAAAAGAATTTTGTACTTTTCTCATATAATTTTGTTCTTTTTTTTTTTAATTTCATGCCTCTAATAACTTTTGCCATCTTCATATACATCGCCGTCTCATTCCTCATTTTATCGAACTGAGAGAAACACGTTCGGATACTTTGAAATTTCGTGATTCACTGCCTTGAAAACAAATATGGTAAACTGTAACGAGATAAGTTTGCGAAGAATACTTGGCAAAGCGGTACACTACGCGATTCGAATATTACCTCATAAGTCGACACTGTAGCCAAGAGACTTAGATCTATAGTCACGTGATTTCTTGCAGTAATCTAATTTTCAAGATCAACATATTAGACAGGCGAGTTGAAATTTTTGTTTTATTTTAGCAAACTTTACTTATCCAAAAAACCAATGACCATTCGCTAACGTAATTGTTGAAACTTGTAATTGAAAAATTGAATAGCTTGAATTTTCTTTACATAGAAAATAAATAGTATGACGCTGATACGAATTGATCACCATTGAAAAGTAATGAAAATAAATATTGATTTATACAATTTTCAGATGGAACTCTACGCCACGTACTATATGAGCAATCATTGATAAACCAGATTATGCTATTACAAGGTTCACACTCGACGCATTAATAATGTATACAATGTACCTATTTACGAATTGTTTGTATGCATTAACGATACGAGCAAAGTGCATTGAACGCTAATAGCGTAACCCGTGGATGTGCATTGTATTAAACTTATTAAAGCATGGAAATAAATTGTATCCATACGGACATTAGTAATCATTTGTGTTTACGAATACGAATTTAATTATAATAACGTGTCAGTATATATACTTTGACGTGGTATTTTGGATGAACGTCACAAAGTGTGGAATTCTGCGATTTTCGGCTACATCGTGGGACTCTATTCGCGGGGATGGAATTTCGTGGCGTTGGACTGTGTATTATTTACTAAATTTATACTTGGACAATTACTTTATAATTGTATCCGTTTTACCAAAATTTTGAATTCCACAATGAATGCATATTAACTATTTGCGATTATTATGTGCAAACTTATGGTTTCTAAGCAATTTGAGGTCAATTGCAATAGAAATGGTAGCATACTTGCCACCAATTACATACACCCAGTTCACACTATAAATTCCATAGCAACCGGATGCCAACAGCTATTATGTGCAAAGTCCTTCATACGAGCATGTGGCTCTCTCGATCAATAAACACATGAATTTCCTCTACCATAGATAGATATATATGTATAATATATATGTAACCAAAAATGGAGTATTGATTCCCTGGACGATTCTAATTCATTGTAGATATATCGACATTAGAAATATGTGATTTTATCCGAATCGATAATATATTTAACATAAAAGTTGAACAGCTAATGTTCGAAAGATGTGAACTTAATCGCAAAGAAGAAATTGAAACACAAATCACAGTAGCACTATAAAATAATAGATTTTGATAAACCTAATAATAATTGTGCGTAAACGATAGCCTTAAAGATAAATGAAAATTTTTAATATAAAATATAAAATTTATCAACAAAATTTGTTTTCAAAATAGATATCAAATAAGGGAGGCGTTTCACTTCTTGGATAAACTCTCGGCAAGTGCTTTGAATGCTCTCAAGCCTTCGCCATTGATCTCTTCATACTTTGGAATCTCAGCCTTGACTCTGGCGAACCAACGGCTGATGTTTTTGAATTTGTTGTAATCGTAATTGACTACCTGAAATTAATAATTGATTAATATCAACAACTCGTTCGTCGATTATTCATTGATAGAAAGACTGTCTGATATTCTTCATCGAGTTTATATTATCCTTACTTCGAAATTTGAAACAGTGACAATCAGCGCAATATCTGCAATAGTCAATTTGTCTCCAGCAACATAATTTTGGCCTTCCAAAAATATTTCCAGGAATTCCATGGGTTTGTCGATCTTTTGAGACAGAGCAGAATCCTTTGGTGCACCACCGAAAATCGTGGGGTACTGTGAAACATATATGTTCTCAAATTCAACATAGACTTATTTTATTTACAGAAATACAATATCCATTTTAAAAAATCGATGTATGTAATACTATACAGTGTAATTATCGTATGTATTTTTTGTACTTACAATAGCATCGACGATAACCTGGTACAGGGTGCCTATATCAAAGAACAGTCTTTGATTTACCATTGCACGCTTCTTAGGGTCCTTTGGATAGAGTGAGTCATCCTTGCCATATTGGTCGACCAAATAGCCCAAAATCGCTCGGCTGCGAAGAGAAACACGTACCAGTTGAAATATCCATACTATGAGGTAATGTAATTTCCGCAATATTCGAGAAAATTATATTAATCTAGATGGAAATCCAACGTTACGATTCAATGGGGTATAATGATAAATCGTCCACGCATCGAGGATTCTCGATAAATGAACGCATGTGACGTTAAATACTTGAAATACTATACCTATCGGCCATGTCAATATTTGATTAAGTCATTAAGCGATATGATTTCAATATATATATATATTTTTTTATCTCCATCATTAGTATAGCGCGAGGATGGGGGAGGGTTCTGGAGACAGAATCCTGCACCAACATTTACCGACATTTCGGCAACTTTCGAAGGGTCGTGTCCGTGCTAAATCTTGCAGGATCGCTCGCAGGCCGGCAGCTCTTTCGCGTTCTACACGATTTAGTAAGGACACGAACCATGGAAGGTTCTGGAAGCTTCTAGAAATTTGTCGATCGCTCGCAATTCCTAGAATCGATCGTAAAATTTCTGGAATCCACCCCGAATTCCCAAGAATCGTAAGTCCCAATAAGGTCGTTACAGGAAATCGCGGGGTTCGACAACGTAAGTTCAGCACGGACACTACCCTCCTGAGGTTTTGAAAATGTCGGTCCCGGAATCTGTATCCAGAACCCCCCTTGCTATACTACTTCCATCCAACGAATCTTTCGTATTCCGTCAACGTGTTCTCAAAGACTGAACGAAAAAGTGCAATAATCTTTTGTCTGGAGATACTAGGATATATATTTCGTATTTTTGACGTAGAAAATAAATATATATATATGTATATGCACAGGATATATAAAAGTTGAAAAGGGTCTCCATGACTCTATATATGCACTACGTGGTTGGACGCAGCAATAAGCTCACCTTTCCCAAAGATAAAAGCCATTGTCGTCTATCGTAGGAATTGTGTGCTGCGGATTCATCTGGGAGAAGAGAAACAACCTCAGTTTTATTTATTCTATCTTTCAAGCACAGCGAACACATAATTACGCCGTACCCCTTATTGAAAGGGGAACGTAAAGCGAGAAGGTCTGACCCTTCTCCTTATTTTTCCTTTGAATTTCACGTCAAGTGTCTACCTTGATAAATTCAGGCTTTAGGTGCTCGCCGTTCATCAAATCCAGGAACTTCAGGTTCAAGTCGACGCCCACAGCAGCAGCCACCAGTCTTACAGTCCGACATGGTGCACTTCCGGGTACGTGATATAGGTCGATGGGCATTTTTTAAAATCTGCAACAACGACAGAACGAACTCGTACAAGTCGAAATTCATTGAAATATAACTCGCGACATTTAGGACTTTTCAAAACTTAAAAGTTACGTCGAGTCATTGTGCAACAGGAAACGGTGGTACAGAGTATCGTAACAGGAAATACGAGAGGCACAATGAAAATAATTTTTCTACAGTCACGACGTAGTTGAAAGCTTTTAGAAAAATGTTCGTAACTCGTCGTCCTTCTATATTTCCGCTTTAATCTTTAAAGATTTATATAATTTTAATTATCTGCACCGAACTGCACGCTACAGAAATTTCACAGTAACACTTCAAATGCATTATGGGTACATTTTTATTTCAAGAGAAATTTAATTTATTTTTCATTCCTTTTCTTTCGCCTTTTTACGGACTCCCGCGGAAATGCTCTGTTTTATCGCTCGAATTATAGTTCGGCAAAGTCCACGCTTCCCAACTGGATTTCACGTGAGACGTAAAACTCTCGGAATTTGGGGAAAATAAAAATACCGAAAACGAAACCACCGGCAATCTGTATCTGAATATGCTAAACAAATTCGATCATCGTAAATTTGAAACGTACCGGCTATTTACTTATCAAATTGTATAACACCGACAAACTGTAGGCACAATTCGTATGTGATCCCACTGGATATTCGCCAAGAGTAGCGTCGACTGTCTAACGGAGTTCGTTTTCCGAGCCTTTATAAGTACAACGGCAGTGCTGCCACTCGATTGGATAAACAGAAAAGAATGACGCACCGTGGGTACTCAACCTGATTTCTCAACCTATGCATTTATCTTTGCTAAGTCATCCATATATTGAGTTATGTGAGATCATACACAAAATGTCAAAGTCATCACTTAGCGAAATCTTTTTCAGATTAAATATACCATAATAACCCGTGATATCAAATACATATGACCAATGAAAAATACAAAAATTCAAAAACGTATAATCAAACTAAAGCAAGGTTCTCGATTTTAAAAAATTGACAATACAACGTAAAGATAAATATTAAAATTTTATATTTTCATTATCAATTTGCTCGATGCTATACTATATACACTATTACAAATGATAACAGAGCATCGAATACAGTGTTACGCATTGTAGGAGTTAATATAGCAAATAATGCTACAGTCTTCTCTGTAGCGTCGAACTCCAACGTATCTGCTCGGAATGCCGTGACTATTTTTGTCCTGCCGAGAAAAAAAGTTCATTATGAGAGGCACCAATGGCAGACTGCCGTGTCTGGCTGGTGAAAGCGTTCCTACAAGCTGGCAGCCTTGAAATCCCGTGAAGGTCTGCCTTGAATCGTGGAATCCTGTCACGGAAGAATGAGAACACATCGTACCGTGTCTAATTTAAGAACCTTCAATAAGTGAAGTTTACTCTATGCTCACGATATCACAGCTTGTTGCGAAACAATATCTGTTGATTCGTAATATTACTATCGCTGTTGATAGAGTCGCCATGGAAACGCTGGTGCAAACTTTGTTCAGTAATTAAAGTAATGACGTCCAACGGCCAGTTAAGAACCGTGGTGATCAAATAAGTTACTTTATTCCTGTAAATTAATTAATATATATATACTCATAAAATTTCCACATATCATTGCAAATTACAAAGAGACTGCACTGTCATAACAATACTGCCATATATGTCATAATGACTGCCACACTGTCCTTAATGATATTCTAATTACGTATGTAAAAGTGTTTTTCAAAATTCCATATAATTACGTAATATTATCAATCATCTGTCATCTTTTATTTCTCGTAACATTGAAATATTAATTTAATAAATGTCAAAACACGTTATTGGCACGCAGACTGAAAATCTAATGGGAAGAAGCATTGTCATGATTTCACAAAGGGAAAGATTCTTTGAGTTCTTGAAAATTGTACAGATTGAAAGGAATTTCCAGGAAATGTACAGCCGAGTTAAATTAAATACTTGAAATTCTTATCCGACAATCGTACAGCCTAAGACACGACTTTATACAAAGTTTAACGATAAGCAGGTAATTTTAGGTGATTCGACGCTGTGTGACTTATGTAATATTCGAAACCACGTGACAGCCGCTACAGGACGGATGTCCACATAACCATAGTGATAATATGTTACAGTAGACAATGATGACTACCACTGGGATCGAGAAGCTTCGTTGACGATGACTCGTGAAAATTATGTTGCCTTGAACGACTAAAATGCCACTACGGTATCCCGATGAGAAAATCGATTCTGGAGTTTTACAGGGGTTCGTGAAACAGCATGAAAATTTATCGGCGTTAACGTCGATCCTTTTAGCAGCTGGAGAAATTTTGACTGTGACAATGATTATTTGCCATTGAATATGTGCGAACAAATTTTGTTTGGCAGGTACGTATTAAAGTTATGGACTTCCTCGAGAATTAATGTTGCCTGCGAACACGTAACAGGATAATTCCATTGCCGCGTGTATTACTATAGGACGAAACGTGAATCAGCTATGGGAAAAAAAAAGAGTTATAATTCCTGCAAGCAATTTTTTTTCCATCGTACCCTGTACATTAGGGCGATTACATAAGCGGATACCGATTGTGAGTCGCATTTCTGGGATTAAAAAATCCATTCCTCTAATTGTAATGGGAAGAGCAAAGAAAACGAATGAAGGTATTAACAGGATAAATATATTTTCCGTATACTCGTGTGCGTTATAGTGAATGAATTTTGTTGTTTAAATTATTATGACGTCACCGATCGTTAAAGTACGATAAATATTGTGTACGGAGGATTAAGATAAGGATTTAGAAATTTCAAAGTTTTTAATGGCCGATAAGGAGAGTCGAGATTATATTTATGTAACAAGTTACCTAATAGGATATAGAATGATTAGTATATGTGTAAATAAAAATTTAAATAGTGTCGATTTTTAAGGATGCACTGATTAATTCGTTGAACCAATAGAAATAGAATGGGGAGTATCAGGTAAACGGCTGACAAGGTATGATAATTATAATATTTTTTAAATACAATATAATCTCAGTGTACTAAGATAACATATGGGTAAAAATGATTATCGAGTATCTCATGCAGCTTAAACGATAGAATGATCTACAGATTACGAAACTTGTAGCTGAGATCAATGGCCTGAATACACTCGACGCCTCGAGTTCAGCTTGATGATCTAACGTATGAACGAAAGTTCCTGTCTGGTCCATTTGCAGCATCAGTGTTTATAAACCGGTCTTGCGGTTGGTTGGTGGAATGAATTTTTAAATTTTATTCCAAGACATAATTGGTTGATATTAAAATAAATAAATCATTAATCTTCTCAGAGGAGTGCTCTTATAATAAGTGTTATCGCGTCATTGGCACTGTTAATCATTGTGCAATTTATGATGACAATGCGAAATTGATGTACATCTGATACAAAGTTGATGCTGATTGTTTTTTTACAATATTTTTAGAGTTTTTACGTAATCAAAGCTTTTGAAGGCATAAGACAGCTTCTTTAACCGAGCATTCGGTTGCTGCACTTTGTGCTTACGCGGATAAGGAATTAAAACTTCTAAAGATAAGATAAGTCTCGCGCGTTTACCGGTTTCACTCGTTTATAACGAGGGGTAAGGTTGCTAAACTTATTTTAACGGCGCGTTACGCAGAGCAACTAAAAAACTGTTGGGTTTAAAGGCTTGGCTTGATTAAAGAAATTTTTTGCTCCCGACAAGAAGATACGGAAAAGGTCGGTGGGGTGAGGAGTGGGGGGAGAGGTTTTAGACGAAGAAAAAAAAAAGAGTATTATGCTTCCTGAAAAGATTCTGACCCATTGTAAAGTTCGAAAGCCCGAAAACTCGTGAATATATACGATTCAGTGCGAATTCACATGGTAATGACACGATTTTTATACTTTTATGGAATAGCTGAGATACATTCGATTCCTCGATTCTTTTCGCTTTCCTTTTCGTATATATTCCAGGGACGATTTAAACCTGCGAACCGCAGGGATATATTATTTATAGGAAAATACGAAAATTTCGAGGATTTACATTTTCATGTTGTTCGGTGACATTCGAAGGTTTTGGAATTACTCGAAGATTTGTGTGCACGTTAACTTTGTCTTTCTTTTGTGTGCCGCGAGCTCCCACGGAGAATGAATGTTGGAGTATGAAGGGGAAGAAGAAAAAAGCTTAGAATTTCACAGAGAAAAGTTAACCGGTATGTTGGCAGTTCCGCGAGCGAGATGGCTTGTATCGCCGTAAAAAGTCTTAAGAGTTGAAACTGCTCGCACTATTCAAACTTTCTAACAGAGAAAACCACATGGCGTTACTGGCTCTTTATCAGGGACCGTAACAGTAACTGACACCGAAGTGGATAACCGATAATAAACGGAAAAATAAGGAACCGAAACTGTAAGCATTAAACGAAATTTCATAATTTCATTAACTTCTAAATTTCCGAAATTGCCAACTTGCCGATTTTCATGGTCCAAGTTTTATTTCGACGTCGACGCGTCACTTGAGAGGGCTGTCAAACCATACCCACGTGTTCGACTGGTCGAGTATAATCTATCAAATGTCTGAAGTAACGATTATAAACTTGAAATGCAAATCGCTAAGAATCGAGAGCGCTGATTATCTGTTAAGTAGAAAAAAATGTCTTTCTGATTCGACGTAACGCTGCAAAATCACACTTACGTACTTCTATGGTTGAAAGTAAATTGATTTATAAAGTTTAGTGAAAAAAATGCATGTATTACTCTCTTCTATTCTAGATCTCCTGTACTTATAGTCAAAGAGAAATATATTCCCTGATGCTATTTAACAGATATTATTGCACAAATAGATCAGCAGGTTAAATCCATAGGACCTAATTACAATACTCGAAAATTCCGCTATTACTTTCACAAGAAAATCTACGCTAACTTTTCATTGGTATACACGAAATTTGCTAATTAATTTAATTAAGCCTCCAGCCGACTCTTGTAGATGTCGCCAAACTTTTTCGCACTCTTCGCATTGATCTCCTCGTAGTCGAATCGCTCGAGAGCTTTTTTACAATTTTCATACCAGGCCGCAACGTTGTCGTATCGACCGACGTCAAAACCAAAACTCTGAAAATTCAATGCAAAGCTTTAGTATTTTTTTTCTCGCTGACGTAACCGTCATGCAAAAACTTTTCATTCAACCAAAAACGTTAAGCTCACGCGATTCTCGACGTAAAGTTAATTCGCAAAATATTCAGCAAAAATGTTTGCCAATAATGAAAAAAAAAGGCAAATGACAAGCGACAGAGCAAAAACTACGATACGCGTTTGGCTTGACATTTTTTTGGTTTTCTCGGGAAAAATGTTCCTACACGTCACTCAGTAATAGAAACTTGTGATACACTAACTTCCGCTGTGCTGACTGTTACCACGATGCTGAAGTCAGCGATCGTCAAATTGACAGAGGCGGCAAACCGTCTGCCATCCAGAAACATGTCGAGAGTCTCGAAGGCATTCTCCAAATCCTTTATATTTTCCTCGTCGATAACTTTGGTTTTCCCCGTTAAAACTGGATACTGCGAAATAAAATAACGGAGTGATATCAGAAACATTATGGGCACGATGCTCGTTATCATTAATGGCGTAAAGTAAAGTCTAATAATTATAATAGAATAGAGTGTGATTATTATACGGGATACGGTAAGACAACTATAACTTTCCACAGAAGTAGTACTTAATCAAAATGTCTCAGGAGTATCAAACATTACTGCTCGATGCGAAGGTCGTTTAATTAAATGGAAAATTGTCACAAGGGAAATTCCCTGAATGCTACTGGAATTTAACACTCGATTTATGGAGAAAAATCTCTACGCCACTGGCAAAAAAACTCCGACACTATTTCCGAAACTAAATTCATTAGTGGGTAATACCAGAGTTTTTCTTTTTTTTTTCTTTTTTTCCTATATTTTTTTTTTTAACGTTCCGACAAACAAGCTTTGCCAACAGAAAGTAAAAAGTAATCGGACTGAAGTGCATCGATCAGCAAGAAACTTTTTAGCGGGAAGATTTTTTATTCCAAGTGACGTTCGCACGTAGAATATGGACTCTCTTTTTTTTTTTTTTTTTCGACCAGTCAGAACAATGCCAATTTCCTGTCACACTTTTACTCATTTTCGGATAAAAATTTTGGACGACGTACGTAACATTTCGTGAGTGATTCGTTTAGAGTTCCAATGTCGAAGTACAATCGTTGATCTACGATTGCGCGTGCGCGTGGATCTTTTGGATATAACGAATCATCCTTGGCATATTTGTCCACGAGATAACCCATAATGCAACGGCTGATAATAGAAAAAAAAAAAAAATTAAAAAAATTATAAATAGAATCGAGAATTTATTTAACGTGCTGCGGAAAATAAAATTTATTTACCTTTCCCATAATACGAAACCATTGTCATTAAGGGTTGGTATTGTATGTTGAGGATTTATCTGGAAGAAACGATAAGAAATATAACTGGGACGTAACGACTGAAAATTTATCTTCGCTATTCCGTGCTTTCGTTCTGTTTTCGAAATATTATTCAATTATTTTTTGGCATTGAGCATTCAGAGATTTTTTTGAAAAAATACCTTTAAAAATTCCGGTGACATTTGCTCTCCCTTTAATACGTCAACTGTTTTTAAGTTCAAATGGACACCGACGGCCTTGGCCAGCAGCATCGCTGCTCGACACGGTGGGCTCAGTGGTAAATAGTAGAAATCGATAGGCATCGTTGAACTTTTGGTTTTGACAGTTTTATTCCTATAAAATAATGACATACATATACAGTACAGACCTGGACTTCAAAGTACACGCAAAATCATACTAAAATAATTGATGCATTTCACATACAGTTTTCCACGTATCAATCTGAAAGTGCTTTCAAATGCAGTAGGACTTTTAGTAAAATTAAAATAAATTAAAATTAACTCTAGCAGGACAAATGGCGTACATACTGAATTTTCGTATTTTGAATTTAAAAAAAAAATTTATTTACAACGTGTCTGTTCACATCGAGCAGTGCTGTATACTGGTTTTTAAAGTTTTAACAATTTATTATTACCATCGTGAGATCACAATTATCACAGATACACTAAATGTCACAATTACTTAGGAGTTAAATTTGCAATTAATTTAAAGAGTCAAATCACGCAACAAAATGTCTTACCTATCTCCGCGCTGCGTGTATCTATAATGTCGAAGGCAACTTGTGGTTCAATGGATTCGTATTGTATGCGAACGGGGAGACACAGGAGTTTCCATGACGATGGTTACACAAAACAGTAAACTGAGAAAGTACGCGCCGATGGAAATAGAATACAACAGTCCAATGATATAGTATCGATTCGCGATAATGAAAGATTTTTGAAAATTCCCGAAAAAAACGCAGATCTATATTTTTGATAATAAATATTAATCGATAAATATTTAATTGTAAATTGTGACGATTTACATTTTTGTAAATAAAAAATATTTTTTTTACAAATTAACTACAGTCCTATTCTTCGCGTGAGAATTATATTTGTTAATTGAAGTTTTCGCATTAATTTTCAAATCACTTTTACCATTTATTTCGTCCAGGTACAATGCGAACAACTGCTTGTAAATTATTCGGCGGTGTCGCTGTCCCAGTTTTCCCATAAAAGCGACCATACATGCTTCACTGCCGTACTTCATGATTATATGTATAACGGGGTTCGTTATTCTATTCATGCTTTAATTACCTAACACTTCACGGTGTAGATTTCAAAATGCGTTATCTCTGTTGCTATTTGCACCTGTCATTACGTACACAGTTTTTCTCAATGCTTCGACAATTAACGTGATTCATATTTAAAGCTTTTGTCCGTACTCAATGGAACGACTTTGCCAGCGTATATTACGGGGAGAATAATTTACGTGAGAAAATTATTAATGCAAATCGGCCATGGGACTCATCCACGTGGTAATAAAAGTAAATCATAGTAATATGTTTGCAATCGATACGAAGGACACGTGCAATCGAAAGGGAATTACTTTTAGCGTTATATATTAATATTATGGAAGTAATCGAACGAGTGGTTCTGTAATGCGATCGTTACTGAGCAAAGATAAAATGATTAACTGACAAAATAATGGGGTATACGGGTAAGCCGAGTTTATAATACAAAAAGTACATACGTGGTAATGTCGCGAGACAGTTTTTTACTCATACAGAAGCCCATGACTGCCGGAAGTTGAAAATCGACTGATACTGTTGAAAAGTTCGAATGGCGTGTGTCAGATATATGTTTTATCTTTCGACTTTTTCTCGGCCGATTATCGGATTCACTATCTCACTATGAAATCATTGGTTTATCAGTTACGCGTATAATCATTCCCATCCTTATCGTTTTGTCAATAATTAATATGTGTCGAATTTGATTGCTTAGGCTCGATTACAAAAAAATATATATATTAAATTTGAATTTTAACTTTGCTGCTGTATTTCTGTAGAATGGAGGCGAAAATTTTGTTTATACACAATTTCAGTAAAATTCAGGTGATATTTAAAAGTAAGTAAGCTTGTTATTTACCATTTTAGGTTAATTAATGTCATTTACGCACATGACATAACTGTATACGATCTGTTAACTTTTAATATATTATTTTGAGGATGTATTTTAGGGTATTACAAATCTGAAAGAGCACTAAAATCAATTGCATAGCGCAATTGATTTGGTGTGAACGTGCAGTGTTTATATACCTGGATACTCACACATGAAATCGTACCAACATATGGTACACCCATTAGGAATGTTGTATGGAATTAGTATGGAAGCTGTTAAGAGATACCTGAAAAATAGTTTCCTTCTTCAACGCAGAGATAGCGCCTCCTTGGATTCCTCAGCTTTTCTAGACACAATACCTCGATGCTTGAAAAATATCAAATAAAAGAAGTATACTTGAAAACTTATAAAAGGAGCTGCTACCAGTGATCAATAATTGGGAGGATTATTAATAATTAGGTAAAAAATTGTATTTCAACAAAATATCCAATTTTCGATGATAATCAGTATATTGATTTATAGAAAATGGTAAATTCGACTTTAATCAACGTAACAGTAAGCTTCTACTTACTAGTGTTGACTTTGGTGTTCGATCGATGATTTCAGCTACGATGGACCGTCGGTAAAGTAGTAATCTACTAGTAAAACTACTATTACCACGGGAGCAGGAAGTAGAATTTACTGATCGATAGGAAAGTCATCAATTGCAAGATACAACTTAAACGTATAAATTTTGTAAATAAATAAAAAACTAATTTTGAATATCACTGAAATTCAGGAAATTCACTTACTACTGTACTGTGGTACAGTCTTATTCAGTATTTTTAAAACACCGTACCGGAATGTCTTTCTGCAGCACTTTAATACTGAATGCAATATATTATTAAAGTGACATCCGTGAATCTAGGGACGAAAGCAAGTGTCGGTAGGATTTCTGAATAATCCAGATCTCTGTTCTACCAAATGTAAACTTAATGTACGTATAAATATTTTCAGCTAAACCCACTGTACTTTCAAATTCAACCAGTCACCAGCTGCACTACGAAGATTACTTAAGTGACAGTTGCAGAAATTCCTGATTACTTCCTGAGTTTTTAGAAAAATTAAATCGACGGGTTTTAATGACAGTTGGGCATGATAGGATATCTCGTTAAATTATTGCAAGACAGATATCCACTTGACGCGCGTTAGGATATCAAATATTTAATATAATATATGTATAATAATATTTCCTCAACAGTTGGATTTTACGTATTACGTGCCCACTGTGAAATTATTCAGCCAGTCAAATGCTGCTTTGTCGATGGTTAAATTCTCATGTATCCATTTCCTTTGCATATCGCGGTCTGCCGATATATTGACATATATACGACATGACTATTCGTTTGATCCTGGTTAATAGCGTATTGGAATCATAATCACAGAAAATTGAATCCATAACCCGTTCGATTTCACAGATACGAGTATATCGTGTACATTTTAAAATAAATATATATTATCGAAAAATATCGCTATCGCATGTCACTGACGTCACACGAGTGATACGATAGACTGGATCATCATCAGGTAGCCGACGAGTCAGCGCTCAAGTATTACAATTTTGCATAATTATTCAAACCGACAGTCGACCCGATTGCCTTTTTTGGAAATTTTGCGGGCAGAAGTTTATAATTAAAAAAATAATTAATTTTTCAACAGACAATGATGTACAGTCAATATATTTGCATAAACATATAAATTCGTAAAATAATTGGATTTCGCGTAACAATTAATATTAATATAAATTTTCATTTATTTCCAAAATTCACTAGTGGCATCCTATATGGGTTTGTTAGCTATAGGTATATGATACGTGTAAACATTCATTGCGGATGCTGGCTATTCACGTAGCGGTAACGTGTGGGATCCCGGCAGATTACATCTAGATTAAAATGTATTCCGTATGATTATACAGTGAAGTTTGATCACTGACAGTAAAGACTTTTTAAAAAACGTCCTCGAGTATTCTCTCTGGCTTGGCTTTCTTCGACTCGACTTGTGAAAATGTATCAACAGTATATATACTGCCTGCACGTATATAACCGTACAAGTTGTTACGTCGGCAGCTACCAACATGAAAGTAACGCGGTGGCTTTTCTCTGAGGAATTAAAATATTTATGTCGTAAATTCGTAAAGCCTCACCCGAAGAAAGGTTAAGTCTATAGGTTGGGGACAAGAGAGGAGAAATCGATCTCCTCACGCAGACCGCAAAGAATCAGGGGCGTCAACAAAATTGTATAATTTCTCAGGGGCATCGAAATCATACCTAATCCACCGTATCGTCAGTGAATTCGATATTAAACGAAAAGAATTTTCATATTGACCTCAAATAAAATATACACTAGGTATATCCCCCGATGAAAACAAACTTCATTTCGAGTATCGTTTAAAAAATTCCAACCTTAAAATTGATCATGCAATCCCTGTCAGTGCAACGCAGTGCAATCAGCAGGTGCACCGAATCCCTGTATATTTTTGTGCCTTCCAATGAATGGAAACGCACATTATCCCCCAATCGTTATTTCTCGCTAACGGATAATAAAAGTGCAAAAAAAAAAAGGAGAAGGGAGAAAAAAAAAACAAGGACAGAAAAACGAATCATCGCGTTTTCACGAGAAAAAAAAATCCATAATCCCTCAAAACGAAGGGGGGAAAAAAAAGAGAGAAAAAAAAAAACCGAAAGAATTTCTCCAAGGACGGCTATTTTTCGCCGATGAAAGACGTTCCAGTCGTCTGATCAGTTCAGGGGGTAAGTTACTTCGTATAATTTGTCAAGATCCTAGTAGGGCGAGTCGATTTCAATACGAAGCTACGCTTTGTGTGCAGGGTGGGAAATGAATGAAGGGTAGGAAACGAGGGGTGGGTTTAGAGGCAAATGTGTCTTGACACGAGGACCGGAGGGTGGCTAGTGGGTTGAGGTACTTGATTTCTGGTTAATAAAACGTTACTGGAGACATAAAGTGATACTATGATATGTCACGGCAAGACGAGGGGGTGGCGGACAGAGGGGG